CATCAGAGATGCCCCTAACAGCCTTTCGCTTTGTTAATCCTTTGAAGCCGAAACTCTAAATTTTGTTTGAACATTCAGTCTTTACCGCAAAGGAAACAATAGGTCGCCATGGTTACGATCGGATATTAACGCTGTTTAGGTAAATAATCGCTGTTTGTTGTATGACTCGTACAAAACACTGTGTGGGAAAAATGGAGGAATATGAATTTTAAAGCAGGTGGTACATATAGTTACCATTGGTCTTTAAAGTACTGAGCCAGTTACAGTACAGTTCGGAATTTTTTTCTGAATAAAGTAGTTTATTGAGGTTAATGTATTTCGATATTGTTTTAAAGGAGTGTTTAACGTAGTGTTTTAATGGGATTTTTAGAACAGCTGTTGTGAAAACGGTACGCACTCTGGAGGTAACAAAGTAACATCCTGTTTTTATAGGCGTTTTGCTTGCCTTATTCAATTTACTTATAAAGGAATTTGATGCTTTAGGTAACAGAAATATGTTTCTAGCTCCTTTTCGGGTTTACGTAAAGAAAATCGAAAAATGCACCCAGACAACCGACGGATGACATGCGTAAATAAATGTATCTTCCTCGTATCACCTCAGGAATGATGTCCTCTCTATTTGTTTATGGGCATCTATAAATGTTTTTAAGTCAGTGTTTATAAACTTTACGCTATGTCCGTAAGTTACCGCTAACTTGTCGCAGTCATGTTATTATTTTTGTTACATTTTAGCAGCAGCTCCACAGACGTATCCGTATTTCATTTTCTCGTTTTATAGAATTTTGCAGTTCATGACTGTCAATTTCATCGTCGTAAAGGGAGTCCCCTCACACTTCATGAACAGATTCAGCAGGCATTGTCATTTTATGCTGAGGGCAGCGATTAACAAAAGAAAGATTAAAAACAAATCTCTGTCTGTCATATAGCGTTCTGTCCTTTGATAAAAGTCCGTCAGCAATATCTGCTCATTTTCGTGTTTTATATGATCTGTATGTTGCAAATAATAAAGTAAGGTATTCATTACGCTGTTTTATTTTTTTAATAGCTCGTCTGCTTTTTAATTTATTTTAATGTTCAACATTTTCACCTTCGTAACTTATTTCGTGGATTGTAGTCCTTCAGAAACTGATAATCGCTCATCTAGTCAACAAATTCTCCTCATTTTATGGAACTCTAAATGTTCATTGCCGTGCTTACAAAAGCCCATCACCGGACCGTGATCTGAATCACTTCAATCCAATCCAGTCCACACTCTCACGTCCTGTTTCCTGCGAACGTGCCCTAATGTTGTCCTCCCATCTACGTCTGGGTCTACCGAATGACCTCTTATCTTCGGGTGTTCCGACCAAAATTTTGTATGCATTTCTTATGTTCTCCGTACGTGTTGTTTATCCGACCAGTCTGATCCTCCTTGATTTTATCGACGTCATAATATTTGTTGAGGATATTTCCGCCGAACCCCAGAGAGTTCCTCTCACAAACCTCAGACTGATGAATAACCCCTTGTCGGCTGTCCGCAACCCAAGGCCCGTCATCGCTATTTCAGGTTGCTTGTTCTTTTGTCTTATGTTCTCAGTTCCCGTTCCACTAATAGAACTTTAATTGTTAAATATAGGGTGTCTCAAAAATATGTCTACGCTTTGGTATCAGCTTGTCAGTCAGATCCTCACCGCTTTCAGCTGTGCCACGAAGCTGACGGTGGTCATTGTGAACACTTCAACTAGGTTTGCTAATTTACAAAATTCCAATGCTGACGTATGTAATGGTTTAGTTTATTAAAATGACTTTATTTTTTCGTTGAATTTTCGTATGCATCATTTTGGGACACGCTGTATAACCCTTGTGTGAGACTTGATTTACACTTGAGTTGTTTCAATATGACGGCACTTAATTCGAAGAATACGCTCGTCTCGTAAAGAGTGCTGGATCCTGTGATAATAGAAGTTTCACGTTGATACAACAGCCAGAGAACTCGTTAGCAGCTCGTCCATTGCCCAGGTTCTACAAGAACTGGCTGAGATTAAAGCAGAACTCTTAAAGTCTCGCTCCATAAGAGATTGAAAAAGAAAGCATAAAAGTTTCAACTTATTGCGTACGACGTTGGAACATACATTGCGGGAACCTTCTAATGATAAGAGAAGACTTGAATTATCTGTTTCTGTCAGTGAACAAGACGTTTAATTGTACCCGTCTTAGAAAGTGCGGGTAAGTCTCGCCTGGTAAATGCGCCATTGCAAGATTTCTAGAACATTCTAAAATACTTCTTTCGGTCTTTCATCCCATGCTCTCATGTAAAATTTATGACATTTTTAATAAACATAAATTTTCTTCTTGTTAAAAGACGGCTTGTTATCTGAAGCGCCCTCAATACAGGTCCGCATTTTGCCGTATTTCATGTATTTAATTTGCTTCGTGGTTTCTGTAAAATTGAATAGGAAAATGTAGAGCTTTATTTTTTTTTTTGAAGACGGGCGCTCTCTGCTTCTAATAAAATATTTCCCTTATTTACATATGGGTTCTTTTGTGAGCTGGATTAGTGTAAGTGTACCGGAACGTAGCGCCTGAAGACTCAGCAGTGGGAAACAAGTTCGTGTTCCACAGGCCTATTTTAGTCGTCATTAAATTGCCACTGTCTTCCCGGGCTGAAATACGTACCCATTCTTGAACTCATCTTCGATCGATAACATTAATATTGATGCGGCTCATTGATTTAGGAGTGGAGATTGAATTAATCTGGCTCAGGATAGAGACCGTTTGCGAACCGTTGTGAACATTTACGACGTCCCCTGTCATTACCAGTTGAAGAGTACAAATTACAGAATCGTTCATTCGGTTTTCCTCAGCCCCTCCCTCACTTGTCTCAACACTTTGTTCTTTAAGACCCAATGTCCTTGCTTGTCCTTTTGGCGAGGGACCGAAGTAACAGATTACATTGTAACTTGGTACACTTTAATATCGACGTTTCGGGTGCGAATAATAGCTTGATGAACACCGAGAACTTTCCTGTCTATTCTCTTACAAAATGTGCACTATGAATATACGTAATTTTGATTAGCCTATCGAGTGTGTCTGATAGGATTAATAATGCAATTATCACTTTAATGAAACACTTTGTCCCGTGATCGTTCCGTGTATTGAGTGGTGATGTAATGTGGATGTATAATGCTCTTATAATTACTTCCAGGCAGTACGAAGCCTCGTGGTGGGAGGATAAATTATAGACGTAAAATATCTGAACTGAAGTAGAAGGCTCGGTGATTAGCGAAGTGCGTCCCTAATCTTTAAGTTGGATTGTTTCGTTCCTGGTACAGAGAATATTATCTCAGTGAAGATCGAAGTCTTTTGGGTTGTCGTGCCGTGTAGTCCATCGGACATCTACCAGACTACACGGTGGAACAACCCAGAAGACAGCAATCTTCAGACTCACCGCCGCGAAAACCCCAAATCCTGCATTATCTCAATGATCGGAACACGGCTACGCACAACTGAAAACAACAGACATTACAGCGCTCGGTATTCAAACCCAGTACCGACACTTTTTGAAATTAAAGAGTTGCGCGTCACTTTACTCGTAAGCGGAATCATTAGCCCAGTTACCTAATTTGGCGTTCTAAAATTTCCGTCATTCCGGGTGACACAGTTGTTTCAGGTACTGTGATGTTTATTACAGTGTTCACAAGACCTCGCCACTGGTCCATATTCTGAGCCAGTTTAATTCAGCCCACATTCTTACGGTGCAGTGATTTAAGATTCGGTTTAGTATTATACTTCTATCTGTATCTAGGTCTCCGTCCAATTACCACATTATGAAGACGCATTCTTATGCTTAATTAAGCGCTAAGAAAGTGGCCTGGTTGGTTATTACGCCCCTCTGACTTCCTGGCCAGAATAATCTGTGTTTATCCCCCGCTGTTTCCTTGTAATACGCAGTTGTTGTATTTACATAACGTCGCACTCTTGCGTCAGGGAGGACTCGGGCTAAAATATCTTCCCGCGGATCGCCAACCTCACGTGGTTTTCCTCAGTCGCTTAGAAAAATTCACACGCAATTCCTTAAATTACCTCCGCGACCATTTTTACAAATCTGTTCTTCATTAATCATCGTGTTCGTCGACTCCATGAAGCCTGGGCCACTGACAGCGTCGTTAAATATACCACAGACAGACAGACAGACAGTTGCATTAACTTTCTCCCAACCTTTAGTTTATGTATGAAGGTCGTGTTCCTGTGTCGTGTTCCTCTTGTCTTTTTCGTGTTAGATTGGCGAGCGAAGTTTTCGTATTAAAAGAAATCTAAGTTTTCGTATTAAAAGAAATCTAAGTTTTCGTATTAAAAGAAATCTAAGTTTTCGTATTAAAGGAAATCTAAGTTTTCGTTGGTACTTCGCCCCGGTATTTAGTTAAGCAGATTACATGCCGAGTCTCCAGAGGATTCTGATTCCATTTCATGAGTACTTTTGTAAAGTTCTTTGAAGTACGGGTTCCTAATATGTGATTCGCGGACTGCTGATTGCCTGCGGTTGAAGCCACAGCACCGTGTTTGAAAAAAAAAAACGCGCGCAGTTTAGTAAAGTTAGTAATCGTTCGCAAATTGTTCATAATTCGTGCATCGCCCGTGTGCTCGAATGCATTTTTTACTAAAAAGTGAACACAGACTGCGACAAGATGGCTGTCGCCGTCTCCTCGGATATTACGCCGTGTAGTCTCCCAGAAGCAGACCGACGTTTCATAGGTGTTGACTGTCTCCATCTTGAAGTAGGAGGAATTAAATAACGATCTCTGAAACGTCGGTCAATTTCTACGAGACAGCATCGCGGAACATTTCAGAAGAGCTACGTTCTTGTCGCCTTGAGAACCTGAAATCTCACGTTGTTACTTCGCACTGAGTGATCTTCAAGAAGAGATTGCACTGGGTGTGAACAGACAGGTTTTGTGCTTCGCATAACGCGTTACAAAACAAAATCAGAGTCTGCGTTGACAGGCGTGTTCATGCTTACTTACCGCACATAGTGTTTGCTGCTGTTTAATGTCGACTCAGATCACCCGCCACTGCTCTGTTACTACCCTGTTGGCACTGGATGCTTCGCAGTTTGTCCTCGCGGTTGGTTGGACGTCGAATCGCGCACTGCTTGGGAGCAGAGCCATGTCGCCTACCTTCGTCCGAAGCTCACGGAGTGCGCAAGACCGTCTTCATACATTTATCAACCAACATGAACTGAGCGGGGTCTGTAGTGCACTTAGGCTGTAGTATCTTCAAGTATGGAACTTTCATAAAGCTGTTAACATTACTATGTTAGGTGTTTTGGAGCCGTGTGTTATCGTGAGACGGTCCGAGGCGATCTTCTGATTTCAGTTTGATCCCATCCTAATTTCAGTATTTTCCACAGTTATAAATATGAACATACAATTATCATAAAAACTAAATGTTTTTGGCGATATTTGATGTTCCAGATGTCCAGACTAGGTTATCTACAACGGGTCCATCTGACTCTGAGACTTCCATCCATGCTGCCTGATGGCGGAGACTGTAGATTTCCGAAACGTCGGTTGTAGAACAAAGATTGGAGAGGTTTGCGGGTTTAGCACGATGCGATTTTGAGGGGTTGCTGTAATGCCACTCGACACTGGAATACGATACATATCAAATTTGACAGACGCACAGTGAACATCTGCTTCACCATAATCCTGCTGATTTCCCGGCCTGAGCGTGTGTATTGTACCGTGCGCGTTTGTCTGATACAGGGGAATCTACCGACAGTGCAGCCCGATCCTTGCCTGAAGAAGGAAATTTCAGGTGAATGGGATACAGTGCCGTATTTCGAAGCGCCGTGCCCTTTTATCAGCGTCGAGTGGTTAGTGCCGTAACCAGCTCCAGTTTACTCCCCTGAAAAGGTTTTGCAATTCAGAAGGACCTCAGGGTCTTTGCAGACGTGACAGCGAAGATGGAAGGTCTTCAACGCTTTCGTTCCAAGCCGTTCGCTCAGTCCTTTCGGGCGTCATCTGTTTTCCTCTCAGCTGTTCGTGCTGTATAGACTTTCGATTCTCGTTTACTCTGTTTGTCCTTTTCAAAAACGCCTCCACGTCTCGGTATTCGGTTCGTTTTTTTTTTTTTTATTCAATATACATTTTATGGACTATTTGGACACGCGTGCTTTTCAGTGTGAAGATTCGAAGATTGGCCGAATGTGAAATATGTGTTTGTTCACATTGATCACTTGACATTTCAATTCTCAAAATCAAGTGTCAAGACGTTGCGGTCGAGTGCTTAGTATACCTCCTTCGTATTCTGAATGTCCCAGGTTTAAATTTTGCCTCGGAGACAGGTTATCCTGATATTTGTCTTGGATTTCCTCAGTCTCGCCACGTAATTCCGGGTTAGTACCTTAAAATAGGCCACTACCACTTCCACATCCTTTCAGATTCATTATTAATCTTTGAAGCTATATGCTACTGAAAGTGTCGTTAAATAAACAAATGGTCGAGGCACTGTTCCGGCCTTCGCCTGGTGGGACTGAGGAAAACAACGAAACATATTTAGTGTCGTTAGGTTTGCTCTGAATATGGAGGCGGTCTGTGCCTCCGACACGTTGGTAGCAGCCTACAAGTTCGGTATGGAGCGCGCTGGTAGGATCCGAAGGACAAATGCGAGTTTCCGGTGCCTGAGTTTCTCTCTCGTTCTTCGAATGTTTGTTTGCGCTGGTCACTCGCTCATCATCGCCTGTAACCATGCCAACTGAGGCGGCCCTGTCGGATAAACCTATCAGTCAGAGGGTTGTTTCATTCTGGAATTGGCGTGTGTCTATTTATAAGATTCTCTCACGTTGCTTTCCACCTGCAGAATATCTGCAGGTGAGGGTTTTTTTTTAAAAAAAAAAGGGTCAAGACACAATGCAGTGCTCGGGCTGAGCAGAAATATCCTGAGGCAGATGTTAACATTTTTTAATATTATTAATGGGTTACGCCAAGTGAGAGCCACTGGATCGCATAAATTAAGTAATTAAGTCCACAACTTATCAAATCTTTTGCTTACGCTGTCGTAAAATTAAAATATGAGACGATAAAAACTGCATAATGATGAGCTTAAAAATCTGTACTCCTCCCCCAATATTGTCAGGGTGATTAAGTCGAGAAGAATGAGATGGCCGGGGCATGTAGCGCGCATGGATGGGACAAGAGGTGTGCACCGGTTATTGGTTGGGAAGCCTGAGGGGAAGAGACCGCTGGGGAGACCTAGACGTAGATGGGAGGATAATCTCAGGCGGGATCTATGGGAGATAGGAGTTGAAGGAGACTGGATTTTGTTGGCCCAGGACAGGGCTTTGGTTAAGTCGGTGATGAACCTTCGGGTTCCGTAAGCCATCTGGTTGGTTGGGTCCACTATTTGGGAAGCCTGAGGGGAAGAGACCGCTGGGGAGACCTAGACGTAGATGGGAGGATAATCTCAGGCGGGATCTATGGGAGATAGGAGTTGAAGGAGACTGGATTTTGTTGGCCCAGGACAGGGTCCGGTGGAGGGATTTGGTTAGTTCGGTGATGAACCTTCGGGTTCGGTAAGCCATCTGGTTAATTAGTTTGTTAGTATGAGGCGAGGCGCCGTGCATTTGCAAAAAATAATTTGTCCCTTCAGCTGGTGCTCAGAAGGGGTAATTCCTGAGGTAACACGCCGAAATGAATTTCTCCGTGAAAATGTTGAAGGAGCTGGGAATGTTAGTCCTTTAGCAAGTGGTGATTCTGTTGACCGCAGTGTGAACCAGGACGTATTCACGCAAAGGAATATAATTGCCAGAGCATACTCTTAGGCGCCACTTTGTGACTCCCGCCTGTTAATCACGATGTTCCGTTCACAGCCAGAGACGCACTTTTATCGTCGGCTTCCAAACTTATTTCTGTCACCAGCTCGGACTCTTTTAATTTTGTTGAGTAGTCGAACTGAAATTTATCTGGGACTGAAGATCGTAACTGATCCAACTGCGCCTTGTACTTCGCTCAACGCGCTACATGTTCGATTATAAACTTCTTCTTGTAGTTCGTCCTGAGTTTTCGTTCCTTGTTCCGAAACAGAGGCTCTGTTCGTGTACTCTCTTCGCCTTAATTACGGCGTACAATTAGTTAAGTTCTACTTTGTTCATTAACTATTTTTTGCTCGTTTCGTGATTTTTTGCTTTCTTGGTGGTGTCTGTAGGTCGATTTGTTCCTTTAATGTACAAGATACGTAAAATATTGGGGCCTAATAAACATTCTTAACTTCTACAGTGGTAAGAACCGATGACGTTCCATGTTATGTGCCCCAGTGATTCGATAAATCGGAAGGCCTGCTCACGCACGTGATAAATTGCGGTGAAGAAGGATCAGTGCTGCCAACGATACAACGTCAATACTGCTTTATAAGAAGCCAGAGGGGTTGAGAAAAAACGGGCTTTTTGAAGAAAGGCGTATTGATTGTCGTGTGTTTTGCCTTCTTTGTAGTCTCCTTGTGCCAATATCAAAATCATGAGATTACTCGAATTTTCAAGTTTAAATTGACGGGAAGGAAACGTTTATTAAGTCGATTGTATATCGTTTTAATGGAAGGAGCAAGGAATTGCATGTGGAATTATGTGTGTGTGTGAATTAGTGCTGTATTCGTGGTTTAGAGTATTTTGACACCAGACCCAATCGAGATTCGTGTTTGACACCGGAGAATCCCAACGAGATCAAATGAAATGGAAATATAACCATTTGAAGCTGAAGCCCTGTGAAGAGTTGTGTGGTGATTTGTCTTCGAAAAATGTGGGCCTGCAACTTCTGTGAAGATAAATTATTTTTTTGCGATTAAAATAAAAATATTTCATCAACCACGCGAAATTTGCGTTACCTTCTGGTGTAACGGTTATTATAATAAATGAATAATGGGTGGTAGGCATACGAAATTTGGAGGAAATAAATCAGAAACTTACTCATAAATCGCGTATGAATTACTACTGTGTACGTGCCAGTAATTACAACATGGCGATGCTGCGAAAGTTTTATGTGAAGAATGGAACATGATCGGAATCTGTAGCAGTCTGAACATTGCACAGAAATGAATCAGTAAATACTGTAATTGTAATTTCACAGTTCTTTTTCGTCCTCAGCGTGCAGAGTAAAGCAGCTGAAGGATGGTGTGCGAACGTAGATATTTCAGAGCTGCTACTTCCTGCATTCTTCACGTGAAGAAGTCTGTCGACGTGTATGTTTATGTTTTGACGGTTCTTTCAGGGGATGAGTGATCGATGACGTCTCTGCATTAACGTTACGCCACCGATTCTTCCATCTTCTTATGCGAAGTAATGATGTGCGTCTTTTTATATACAGGGTGCTCGCATTTCGCCTGATTGTGAGTCTTATTGTCTGAATGCTTAGCGTGCTTGTGGTAGTGGAACCCATCGTGTCAAAGCTGATAGTTTCATAGTCCGCTGCCGTATTTAAGGCACCATCACAACCTTTGCGTGGTGTAACTGAGTAAGATACGAAAACCTTCAGTCAGGGGTTGGAGGTTTGCGGGTCGAGATTTTAATCAGATGCCTCTGGAATATGAAGCAGTTTTTAGGTCTATAACTGAATCCTATGATATGCTAGATTGGTTAACGATATTCATGTGAAACTGTGCAATTTTCCGGGTATACGCGGCGCAGTCAAAAGAATCTTCCGGGGAAACGCACAGACTCGTCTGAAGTCGGGCTATTACGTACAATGAGTGCATTAAAGTGTGTGTTGAAGACCAATAAACGTGGAAAGGTGAACAAAGTAGAAAGTTAGCTCTCGTTATTTTTAAAAGTTTTTTTTTCCTTTTTTTGGGGGGGGGGGGGGGGAATTCTCAGAGTTCCATTCGGAAGATCCAGCAAGGTCATATGACAATATTAAAATTGTTCTCAGGCAAGTGAGTTGCGATAAAGTAAATTTAATTTCCTATGGAATTAAATTTGTCTGCATTAACAGCACATTTAATTTTGGGCGTCTGTTTGCCTTGAGTTCGCTTTTCCTTCTCAGAGACAAATGCAAAATCGAACGAAATCAGATCTTTTATGTCAGTCCCCGCTCGCAGCTACAGTCATCGTAGTTATAATCTCTTTCACAGACTGCTAATAACTTCGAGAGCATAGTCTGTGAGCGAGCATCCTCGAGGCTTATTAGCTTTGAGCTGCATTAAACTTTCAGGATAGTTTTAATTTATT